AGGCAGGACGCCCCTCTGGGGACGAACTTCATTTCTTACTTCGGGCCATCCTCAGAATATTTCACCAGAAGGCCTGGGCTCCGGCGACGAACGTCCAGTAGGCTTTAATGGGTCGATGGACCGATCCCTGTTGGGGCCATTAGCCCAACACAAGTCCCCCACTTCTGATGTTCCGAGCGTGCACGGGACATGAAGAAGTAAAACTGCTTCCACCGTACTGCCTTTAGTCGACGCCCCTGACGCGATGGTCGCCTGCTGTATTCTGGATCTCCGAACGTTTTGCCTTATTCACTGGATCTACGTTCCCGACCGTCTATATGAACGAGCCTTGGCGGACCGTTGGGGAGGTACGTCTTCCCGTCTAGAAGGATGGTAATCTCTGTTGTATCTCTGGGGACGTTCGTAAGGTGACTAACCCAACACAAGTCCCCATGTTCCTTGAGAAGTGAGCACCGGAATCTGCTCGAGAAAGTATACTTTTGCCCGTGCTCTTCCTCTACATGTTGGCACACGTGTGAGGGCTTGGGCCGCTTGATCCTTGAATGCTCGGTTCAACTTCCTTCGGACGTTCAATCCCAAAAACCTCGGCCTTGATATGTCCAGCTTCGTCATGCACGACCCGGAGGCGCCCCGACCTCGTCATACGTACTAAGCGTCAATCCTCGGCCCGAGTTCCTAGAGATGTTCGACCTCCTGCATTTTCCTTCTGGATGCTCGGCTCGACATGCTTAGGAGGATCGGTCCCTAAAGACCCGAATCAGCTTCTTCTGGATGTTCGACCCCTAGAACCTCGGCCTAGGATTGTCCAGCTTCGCCATGCACGACCCGGGGGCACCCCGACCTTGTCAGACTAAGTGTCAATCCTCGGACCAAGTTCCCAGAGAAGTTCGACCTCCGGATGCTAGGCAGGGCCTCCTTGGGACGTTATGACTTCAATATGCTCAGCTTGGATAGGCTCAGTCTCTGGATATACTGCGCGTATTACGGCCTTCGGCCGTGAGGCTCATCTCGTGGCCCTCGGCCTTTTCGTGGATGATGTTTGTCGCCAGACCCTCGGCCTCTGAAGTGGAGATGCTTGTCTCCAGTACGATATTTCTCCCAAGGTTCATTTTGAGCACCCTACGTTATCTGTTGTCCCGATCATGGCCTTTATCTGCACAGTGAGTGTGATCGTAAACTAGTCACGGTGGCGCTGAGGGGTCGATCATGCTGCACAAGACGGTGGTCTCCATCCTGGGAGGCATGGACGAGTTGACCGTGAACTGGACATGATGGCACTGAGGGTCCGATCGCGCTGCATAGAGTTTGATGGTCGTCTCACGGCCCTCGGTCGTGCTGGTAGTATAGAGATCCTCGGCCGTGCTGGTGGTCTACAGGCCCTCAGCCCTCTACCTTGGCTTCTCGCCGGTCTTTGGCGTCTAACGAGTTTCCTTCTTTTGGGTTTCCTTTTTTCGTTCAACTATCTTCTCATCGTGCCACACACCTTAAGCCTCGGGGCCGTACTGCACTAAGCCGATGCTCTTTAATGGAGAGTAAATGTGATTTTGCTGACGAGTGGATTATCCTTTTGTTGAATGCCTTCCCGCCGGATCGGCGGTACTTCTGGTCTTACTTTCTTTTTTGTTGGTGAATGCCTTCCTGTCGGGTTGGCGGTACTCCTGGTCTTACTTCCTTTTTTGTTGAATGCCTTCCCGCCAGATCGGCGGTACTCCTGGTCTTACTTTCTTTTTTGTTGAATGCCTTCCGGCCGGTCAGCGGTACTCCTGGTCTTACTTTCTTTTTTGTTGAATGTCTTCCCGTCGGTCGGTTGGGCCTCCTTGGGACGTTATGACTTCGATATGCTCAGTTTGGGTAGGCTCGGTCTCTGGATATACTGCGCATCTTACAGCCCTCGGCCGTGAGGCTCATCTCATGGCCCTCGACCTCTTCGTGGATGATGCTTATCGCCAGACCCTCGGCCTCTGAAGTGGAGATGTTTGTCTCCGCTACGATATTTCTCCCCTTTCAGGCCCTTGGTCGTGATGGTCTTCTTTAGGTCTTCTCGGCCTTCGGGGTTGGAGATGCCCGTCTCCAGGCCCTTTTCGGCCGTGATGGTCTTCTCTAAGCCCACGGCCTTTGGGGTGGAGATGCTCGTCCTTAGGCCCCCAGACGTGAAAGTCTTCTCCAGGCCTTCGGCCTCTAGGGTGGACAGTGAAGGGCTTCCTGACCATGATCTTTATTTCCTGACCGTACACTAGACACGATGGCGCTGAGGAGCCGATCGTACAGCATAAGACGGTGGTCGCCATCCTGGAAGGTATGGACTAGCCGACCGTGAGCGGGATACGATGGCGCTGAGGGGCCGATCGTACTACATAATACAGTGGTCATCATCCTGGGAGGCATGAACGAGCCGACCGTGAGCGGGATACGATGACGTTATGGGGCCGATCGTACTACATAAGACGGTGGTCGTCATCCTGGGAGGCATGGATGAGCCTACCGTGAGTGGGATACGATGGCGCTAAGGGACCCATCGTACTGCGAATGATAATCATCTCACGTCGGGATCTTGGTTTACCGCCACTTTGTTGACGCGGGCGTCTCATGCGTCCGTACTCGGCATTCATCTCGTGGTGAGTACGAACGTCCCCGGGCAAATGGTTCCAGATGCACTGGCTGGCTGCCCCAGGTGCCCCAAGCATTGGAGCCGTACGTCGCCATCTCCCTCAGGGCATTAGGGTCCCTCCTGAGTTCATGGGGAATCATGTCAGTAAGCACCCTAAAGTCCCCACGGCTTCACAAGTTGCTAGACTGGGCATCTGCCGCCTGTTGGCATGCTCTTTGGCTGCGTGACAGCCGTTCGAAGAGATCATAAGAGTTTCCTTCGTTATTTCCTGCCATCTTACTTGTTTTTAGCTGTTTTAGAGTGATTTCTTAGCAGAGAGCTTAGTTTGAAAGAACGTTTTGATCAGTTTCCCAAAGACAGCGCCAGTGTTGAGGTTTATTCCCTTCAACCCGTAGGCCCAACACACAACCTAAGGGTTTCACGTGGGTAGTTTAGGAGAATAAGATCAAACAAGTAAGATGCGGCCCAATAAGAAGTCTTGGTTTTATTTCACTACTACAAGGCGTGAGGTTGTTCGTACTTACAAGGTGTGAGTCCGTTCGTACTTACAAGGCGTGAGGTCGTTCGTACTTACAAGGCGTGAGGCCGTTCGTACAGATGCTGTGCTACGAGATAATAAAAATGCTATAGTACTAGAGTGCCAAGTTGCCCACATTTACAATAAATATAGATATAAATATGTATGAACAAGCTATTTTTACGTGGAACCCCGGAAGGGGAGAAAACCACAGGACTGTTTAGGCTAATGTCCAAGCCCTCTCATTTTATTAGGTTCTCCTCACCATTACATTGTACACTTGAGCTCCCATTAATGGAATCTTTTAGCTAGTCTAAAGAGAAGGAAGAGGGAATGGGGAAGAAGAGATCACCCTTTACAATGAAATAAATGCTTCTATTTATACTGTCGATGGGTAGTTGGATTCGTTGACGTGGCGGCTGTGGACGGTTTGTTCTCAACCACCAAATCTTCCGCATTAAATGTGCTCCCCGACAGGATCTTGGCTTCCCGCCAAGGGGTGGGGACGTTCATCCCCACGGGCTTGCCCAACAAGCCCAACAAGTCCTGCGAGACGTGTATCAGGTGTTTCCCCTAAGTCAAAGCACCCGCCTTTGCTAGAAGACATACGTCTCCCGGGCCTTATGGTTGAGGCCTAACCCAAAGTCCTGCGAGACGTGCGTCAAGCGCTGCCCCTGGGTCAGAGCACCCACCGATGCTAAAATCTTGGTGTAACACTTGAGATTTAATTTAAATGGATTAATAGTACTACTCATATCAACAAGGTGCATCTCCTTTTAAGGGAGCTCATTAGCCAAGAAGTCCAAAGTTAAGAGTGCTTGCACGGGAGTAGTCTTGGGATGGGTGACCCCCTGGGAAGTTTCTCAGGGCGCACATGAGTAAGGATAAAGTGCGCGGAAAAAGCTAGTGGCGGTTTGTGAGGACAGTACTAGAAATCAGAAGTAGCTACCTCGTGGCTTGCGGGGACGGGGTGTTACACTTGGCTTCCTGCCAAAGGGTGGAGACGAGCGTCCCCCTAAGCTTGCCTTGCTTTGTTCCGCCTGGCCTCAAGTCCCAGACACTGAACGTTGTGCAGCCCCCTGGACCTTCGTACTCAGCTATCCCTAGGATTGGGCCCTGGTGGCCCATAGGAGACGTTCGTTGCTTGTTCTGGAGGGAGGCATTCCCTGTTGTTCTCGTGTCTCTGGAGACGTTCATAGGGTTGACCTTATGGGTTTATGGGTCAATCCCTGTTGGGCCACTAACCCAACACAAGTCCCCCACTTCTGATGTTCCGATCATGTGCGAGACATAAGGACGTAGAATTGAATCTGACGTACATTGCCATTTAATACCCATGTCGCAAGAACTTGGGTTCCCAGGCATTGGTTGCAACCCCCTGGACCTTCGTACCTGGCTATCCCTAGGATTGAGCCCTAGTGGCCCATAGGAGACGTTCGTCGCTTGTTCTGGGGGGAGGCACTCCTCTTGTTCTCGTGTCTGTGGAGACGTTCGTAGAGTGTATCTTGTGAGTTTATGAGTCAATCTCTGTTGGGCAATTAACCCAACATAGGTTTAAAAAAATCCTCCCCTCTGCATGACATACTCATCAAAGCAATGAAATTTGATTTTTTTGGATAGAAGAATTTGATAAAACCAAATGATACTATTCTTTTCTTATAGGAATAATGAAAAAAGGGGTTAAATATTCTAAGTAGTTTCGAGCATAAAGTAATTAAACAAACATCTATCCGTAATCCGTAACCAAACACCCCTTAAATTTGGTACGTTTTCGAGCATAAAGTAATTAAACGTACTTTGTCATAAAGTACTTTTTCCCAATGGCACTTTTCAACGAAATGGTTTGCAGATTTTCGAGTACAGCTGCCCCGCAACACCACAAAGAGCATATTTATCTCACCCCGGATCGACCAGTCACGCCATTTATGCTTGGGGAGTTCGATCTTACTGTGGGGGTAAGAGCTTCCAACTTCAAATATCTGCTGCAGAGTAAGCACAGGGAATCAAGATTCATTCCATGGAGAAGGCTCTCAGTATTGTCAGCATAGGAAGCAAGAAAGCTTCTAGCTTTTGGCTCACCAAGAAAGCTAAAGAAGAGTTAAACAACATCACTAAAGACCTCAATGTATGCATCACTCCCTTCTCCACATTCCTATATCTCTTCTCCCTAATTCCCTCTTGGCCTCTTCATGGTTTCATTGATTTATGCTTCAAAATCATTTTCTGGGGAAGTAATAATTTGCTTTTGCTTGTGGCGGGTTTACTACTCTACTTTGTTTTGTTTTTTTAATTAGGCATTTTGAATCTGTTCATAGTATTAGATCTTTCAAATGTTTTCCCAGGAATAAGAGAGAGATATAAAGAAATGGTATGTAGCCATGTAGGTAGTCAATGGGCTCTTCATTTTCTTAACCAGTTGTATGATGTTTAGTCTTTTTATTAAGTCATTGTGTATTAAGTTGTCTTTATGTATTCTGTAATGAGGTGTCTCTTCGTATTAAGCATATATGTTTTGTGTAGGAGAGAGAGTTTAGTTTATGTGCTAAAAGAATGTTTGAATGGTAAATGATGAATATAAGGTTATGCAGATTACTAGGTTGTTTTATGAACAAGTGAACAACTAATCTCACTTGTTTTCAATTAGACTGGAAATTTTGTTTAGGTCCGGTTTAAACCGGTATGATATTAGTTGTAATTTCTTATTGCGCATTGTTAAGTCTCATTTGATATGATCTGAAATTGAAATCGGTCGAAGTAAAAGCATCATTGTTAGTAGATACGGAGTATATAATATGGAGTAATATGTAACTTAATGATTAAATAAGTTTTTGTTTGATAGGTCATATATTGATTTAGTAATTAATAATTAGACTTCGTTGTTAAGATAAGTCATTAAATACTCCGTATATTAAATCTCCAAGTAAACATCCTCTTATTGGTCATCCTAAACTCTGGTAAACCAAACAATGAAACATGAAACAACTGGACAACAGAAATGATCTTCCTCAGAGAGTAGCTAAACCAACTATAAGTTTATAGGATGTCCATAAAAATCTATGACCATCTTTGATTCTTATCTCATCCACGCAAACAAAACTATTTATCTTGTTTTTGAATAAATCATTTTAAACATCCAAAATTTTGCCTCTCGTGTATGAGTTATGCATGATGAACCATAGTCTCGTGGGCACATTTAGTCGTCCCGTTGTGCCTAATTGTAAATATAACAAATAGATATATTGGAATCCAAATATAGGGCATGTAGAACATTATGAAGGGATATGGGTGGTGCTGTGGTAGGACCGTTTAACTGGATCATTTTGGATTGATGGAGTGTGATTTCGTAGTGTGTGGTGGTTTATTTTTGTTTTTGTTAATGCAAAAACATTGAAAAATTCCCACATCTCCAAATATTACACATAGTGTTTCTCTGATGGGTATCCAAGTAAGGCTCATTTTAGAACACCATAATTACTAGCCTTGTCAGATCCTCAACTAAATAACTATTCAAATTAGCTGAAAACTTTATTTCCTTCACTGTTATTATTATGAGCATAGGAAAAGAAAGAAAGAAAGAATTAGTATAAGGGATTGGAATGAAAGTACTTTTATTATAATGTGATCATTTTTTTGCAGACTGTAACAAATGCGGTTGAAGAAAAGGCAAAGATGTTATTCGAAAAGCTCAAAGGTGCGTGGATTTAATAGCTAGGGTCATTTGGCGTTTCAACATTGTTTTATGCGGAGTACTTCGCATATTGACTTGGAATCTAATAGTAGTACTTGTTTAAAATACCATATCACATACTACGTATAAGTTTTTGGGCTATTACATTTATTAAGTTGACTCTGTAGAATGAATTCCCAAATCCCCCCTTTTGTGGCGGAACACCAGATCTTCCTTTTCATTTTATTCAACGTGTAATCAATAAATTAGTACTACCTCCGTCCCACAATTAAGTTACCACTTGCATTTTTCCAGTCAAATTTCATAAAGTTAATTTTATATAGTTCATTTCAATATACACTATTCAAATGTTAATTCATTATAAGTTTTATAAGTATAATTTTTTAGACATTTAGAGTCAAAGTTCCACCTAGAAAACTGTAAGAGTCAAACCGGGAACTTAATTGTGGGACAGCGGGAGTATATCGTAAGATTTAATTGGAGCAAATGAGTCTTCAAATCTGAGACTAGTTGTTACAAACAGCTAGTTAGGAACTCTAATGTGAACTAATAACTACTCTGTGTATACTATCGTATATCGTGTTATGATAAATAAATAGAGCACATATATAGGTTTATACCGGAGCACTCCATACAATAGGAAGGTAGACGGAAAGTGATTAAGAACTTTGTTATTGAATAAAATGATATATATATTCTGTGAATGATATATCGAGTTCATACAAGGTTTATATAGGATATGAGTCCATACAATATGAAAGTGAATCATAATACTGTTCAAGAAATGTAACAATATATCAAGGGGAGGGATATCAGTGGATATATAAAATTCCTAATATAAATTCTCAAGTGACTAGTCATGCATTCACCAGAATTTCATTCAAAAGTTGTGATGCTTCCTCTGCTACTATTTAGGAATGCCTCAAGATAGCCTATCTGATCTTCTGAAGAGACACAATCTACCGCTAGGCCTTTTCCCGGAGAAGATAATCAGTTTTGAATATGACAAGTTAAGCTCCAAGCTGATTGTCCACTTACTGTCTCCATGTGAGGTCACCTTCGGAGACCGTTCTGTGGTAAGGTACTCAACTCGTGTAAAGGCCATTCTGCGGAATAACAAACTCACGTATGTAGAAGGGATGAGAATCAAAGTGTTGCTATGGGTGAATGTCACTGGCGTATATGTTGAAGGACTGAAGTCGGACAAGGTTAGTTTCATCACTGCTGGAGTGACGAAATCGAGGCCTATGGCTGCGTACAACTACCATGGCAAGGCTGCTATAGTAGCTGAATTTTGAACAACTGGTTCTACTATTCATTCTCAACGCCTTGTGCAATGTATTGTATCTTTAGATGCTTTATTGTCATTCTTATTACTCCGTATTAAAGAATGACCAAAATATAGTATCCCATTTTTCAATGCACAAAGACAAGAACATAATTAATATTTTCAAAAAATGACCATAATATGACTAATTAATCGTAAATTCCAATTCTATCCTCATTTTTTCTCACACACGGCATCCCGAAATTCTCATGAAGAAGTCTTTTAATGGTGAAATTAGGCCCGGGAATGGTTCAGTTCCTAGGCAAAATATATGGAACCGTTTGAAAATATGAAATTTGAATAACGTTTCGGTTCTTATAATTTTTTTTATAAAACCGATAAAGAACCGAACCATTCTTAACAAGTCGGTTCTTGTCATTTAACAGTTTCTAGTCTTTAAAAAAATTACAAATCATGATTAAGTTTGTGCCAAAAAGACATTCAACGTTTGAAATTACAATACATATATGCTAAAAATCATTTCTAACCTCACAAGTTGAGTTTAAAACATAAATACATACCAAACTGGAAAGTTTAGTAAATAAAACAAATCAAGATATTCACGACAATCAACAACGTACTTTGCTGACAAAAAAGTTCATTCAAAAAGTCCACAAGCATAGCACTCAATTCCAAGCGGTTGTACCTGAAAAAAGAATAGTAAATTAGTAGACATAAAAATGCCAACAAAGCACACAATATGTTGCAATTCAACTCACATAAGACTACCATATCAACAAACTAATCGGTTCACTTACTTAAGTGAACTCCATTAGTTAAATCAACTTATGGACTCGTTTTTCACTTCGGACTCTTTCCTTGCGCTTACTACTCTTTATTTTTCCTTCTTTTCCCTTTCTTCTTGCTCAAATTCTTCTAATAGGAGTATGTCTTAGTAGGCTAATAATAAGAAATAATAACAATAGTAAGGGTACATTTAGTAGTAAAAATAGAATGGGAAGGGGAGGAATAAGGGATCTAATAATAAGTAACTAGTGGGCTAGTAGCCTTATTAATCCCTGCGTGGATAATACTATAAATAGAAGGGGGATGTCAAAAGAAGGTAGGTTGTTATTTGATTTGGGTGTTGCCTTTGGAGAGTGGGCTTCTGGAACAGTCATGTTGCTTTGTTACCTACGTTTATCCCTTTTCATTCAATAAACACTATCATCTATCTCTTCTAGCTAGATGTGTGTGTTTCCTCACTGTTTTGCTTTGATTAATACCACAGTTCTATCAATGGTATCAGAGCACTCATTCTTGGAGTCTTAATTGATCGTCACATCTCTGTCACGGAAGAGGAAAACTAGTATTCACGTTGATGATACACGAACGAACGAAGAGGGTCGCTGAGCAGACCAGAGAACTACTACGGTCAGAACTGGACGCCTTTGGTTCGAACCTAGAGATGCGTTCGAACTTGGAGAAGCGTTCGAACATGGAGAGGAAATCCGTGATGGAGAATATCGCTGCATCCCTGGCGGCGATAAATGAACAGTTTCAAACCAGAGGAAGATCGCACACTTCTCAACATCGACGAACAAAGGAATCTGAGCGTCTAGCTGCTTGGGAAGGTAATTTTGATCACTCTCGCTCTAGTAAGGGTCGCGATAGCAGGAGAAGAGATATTCGTACAGAAAGAAAGGTTGAACTACCATGGTTTAACGGGGATAATGCAGACAGTTGGATTGTGAGGATGGAAGAATATTTCCGTCTCAAAGCTACTGCAGAGAAAAATAAATTGAAATAGCAGAAGGAGCGATGGAGTATAGGGCGTTTGATTAGTTTCTATGGTGGCAATTTGAGATGAGAGAATATAGTTGGAACGCTCTGAAGGAATCCATAAATCGACATTTCCAGCCTATATGTAGTCTGAAGATAGGGAACCAGTATACACGATCATCGCATCGTCTGGCTTCTCACTGTTTGTAGATACGAACTAAGTCTCCCAGTGCATCGCGAAGTGCACAGGTTCTGTCGCGATCAACTTCTCACAGTTCGCAATCGCGAACTTCGTCATCCTCGCCAACAACTCTTCCCGGTTTGCAAACGTCGCCGCGAGCAGATGTCCTCAGTTCACCGGCCCCGTCACGTACAGCCTCTCACAGGCCGCATAATTTGACGTCCACATATCATCCCAGTTCGCAGGGGTTTCTGCAAGCAACTTCTCCTAATCCATCAGATTTACGGCAAACTGACACAGAAGCTAGCATCTTCTCCAGTTCGCAGTCACTAACAACTCCTCACAATGCATCGTTGCTTGTCGTTTCCCACGTTGCGCCAGATTCATCCGCCTTCAGGACCATTGACTTAGTCACATCAGGAAAGGGACTGCAGGGGAATCAACTAAGCATAATGAACACAGAATTGAAAATAGCTGTACCTTCAATCCTAGAGCCGGAAGAGGATACATCGCAACCTACTGGAACTCTAACTGATATTTTGGAAGATCCTTGGAAAACAAAGATGTACAACCTTGATGACGGTTCTGTCTTATGGATAGCTAAGCCAGTTTTATCCCCAGGCTTGCTTCTCTTGTCTGGCATAGATTCTGAGAATGAAGGGTTGTTGTACATTTTAAACACAAGTCGATAGAAGGTATTGCAGATATGCAAATCAGTCATAAGTTAGTTTCAGAGAAAGAGAGCTTGTTAGCTGATGAAATTGTTCTGATGGTTCCTCACAAGTACTTGCAAAAGAAAAATTGCTTGAGACCAATATAGATGATGAGGTAATAAGAGATTGTGAGGGCTTTGTGACAAAATCAACAAATGCCTCTGTTGCTGAGGGTGTGGTAGAACCCACTCTTGTGGTGCTGGGAGTTCACATGCCTCCATCTGATATTGTGTCTATGGTGGGGTTGAACAAGTCTATTATCACTAATACTAATGAGCTTGGACGAGTTAGAGCTATATGGGGAAGTGAAAAGGTGATGATTGTTAGTGAAGCTGCAAGGAATGGAGTACTTGCAGAAACAGACGGATCTCTTGTGAAATACTTCGTATGAAATAAAGGAAGGATGCCAGCACTTAGCTGTGGAATCTCCAGGAGTGCATGAACTGAAATTTCAGAGATCTGTTTTATCAAGTGAAGGAGCAGTTCAGGGAGTGAGGTGTGTCCATGCCACAACAGTATCATGGTTTTGTAAGGCCGTTGATCAGGTCGGGGCAAGGTCAAGGGAATTTCTTAAAGAAATATATGTAAGAAGAGGAGCAGGAGTTGGGAGGAATTACCCAAAGGAAATAGAGTTGGCTTATGATACTATGGAATACTTTTACATGAAGGCTTGTGGGGTGAAGAATAACTATATCTTGGTAAAAGAGAATTTTGACAAAGATACTCATAATGACGAGTTTGCTTGGTTCTACAACGTTGGGGTTATGGATCTGAAAGAGTTTGGGGTTAAAAGGGAATTGAAGTTGGCCGACAAGTACTTGATAGAGGATGAAATAGATTCTTTGTGGTGGCAGGTTTCTGTGCAGGGCAATGAACATGTGGTTCCACCCATTGGAGATGCATATTACTATGGTGAGGATACTGACCGAGGTTATGAACGTGCAACAAAAGCTCATAGGCATATCAAATCATAAGATAATGCTCAAGCCTTGTTTAACCTGAGATACATGCATGAGCAGGGCCAAGGATTGCCGTTTCAGCATTTCTACCATCAAGCTTTTCCGGGTGGAAATGAGGCAGCATGGTTTTCGTCTTTACCTTTGACGAAAAGCAATCTTTTGGGTGGACTCTTACTTGAATTATTGCTTTATGTGTTGGAATGTAGTTGCCGAACTACAATTTTTGTAACCATGGATTCAGATTCTATTATTCCTAAGATTCCATGGACACACATAATGCAGGCTGAAATCTATAGGAAAGAGACACGGTTGATGGGAGATTCAAACTTTTGCAACCTAAGGGAGCACTCTACCACCATGGCTTTGTTGCTACTCGCTTTTAAAGTGAAGAACAATAAGATGCAGCTTCTAGTACTGAAGTTAAAGATCTAGAAACCCGGGATGTATTGGGAGGAAAGAGGTGACAGAATGAAGATGAAGTTGCAGATCAAGGTTGTTTCCTATCACCCACCTTGAGGACAAGGTGGTTGTTCAGGGGAAAGTATTGATAGGAATATGGCTTAGTAGGCTAATAATAAGAAATAATAGTAATAATAGTAAGGGTACATTTAGTGGTATAAATAGAAGGGGAAGGGGAGGAATAAGGGATCTAATAAGAGGTAAGGGTCAGATTAGGGATGGACTCGGGCAGAATGGCCCGACCAGAACCGGCCCGGGACTGGTACTGTTCCGGCCCGGCCCGACCCGGTGGCCCGGTCAGTGACCGGTCTGGGTAGGCCCGGCCCGTGGGTTTTCCGGTCCGGGCTCGGGTCACCCAAAACAAGGCCCGACCCGGCCGGGCCCGGGCCCGGTTCGAGCCAAAAACTATTTTTTTTCATTTTTTTTAAATTTTCGGGTTGGGCTGGGTATTTTGGGCCATTTGGGGTGGTTTGGAGGGTTGGGGGTGGGATGGGGGTTAATTAGGAAGAGGAAAACAAAAAAAAGATTATAATGGCCCCGGCACGGCCCGGACCCGGACCGGACCCGGTGGTTACCCGGGCCGGTCCCAGGTCCATCATTTCTGACCCGCCGGCCCACCCGGGCCTAGGCCTGACCCGGACCCAGCCTGGACCCGAGTCCATCCCTAGGTCAGATTGGTCCTCGAAATTGCATAAAAAAGGTCAAATAAGTCCTTACTGTCTGGCCGTCGCCATTTGGAGAGGTTTCCGGTGTAATATTTGGATGAAATTTTTTGAGCATCTTATTCATTAAGTCTAGTTTACTCATATCGAATTTCGGCTAAAACTTTAATCGGGAAGGCATTCAAATGAATTCTTGAAGGTAAGTGCGCAGTTATCTTCAAGACTTCATTTGAATGCCTTCCCGATTGAAGTTTTAGCTGAAATTTGGTATGAGTAAACTAGACTTAATGAATAAAATGCTCAAAAAATTTCATCAAAAAATTCCACCGGGAACCGCCCTGAATGGCGACGGCTAAACAGAACCTCCTATATAAGGACTTATTTGACCGTTTTTATGCAACTTCGAGGACCAATCTGACCCTTACCTCGATCTAATAATTAGTAACTAGTGGGCTAGTAGCCTTACTAATCCCTGCGT